TAAAAATATCAACAAAATTATACGTATCCACCGTGTCTGTGAGCTGGATCATACTCATAATTTCTGCCAAGACAAAAAGGAACAAATAACATCACTGAACAATTTAGTTCCAGGTCCATGCACACTTCTTTCATCTTAAAGTTTAGGAAAGAAGCAAAGAAGAGCTCTCAACTGATGCTATAGGGTGGATTGGTTGTGTTTTCATTTTGTGTCAGACAGACGGCTCATGACGGCCTGGATATAGAACTAACTCCCTCCCTCTCATGAAATTTCCAATTCACTGTGTGAAGCAAGCACAGATAAATGTGCCATTTGACGGCAAGGCTATCAGATGTGACAATCTTCCAGCGATAGCCACAGTCATACCACTGTGACCAGCCAATTTCTAGGCTTGTTTGAGGCTGGGGCGGAAAAATAAATGTCTACCAAAATATTTACAGGGCTGAACATTGGAAAAACTGTGTGAACAGCATATACAAAAAATGCAGAAAAATGCCTCTCCGATTTCAAGATGACATTTGAAGGGTTATATAACACATCAAAAAGGCATTTTAAAATTTCGTTATTTGGCACATTCTTGTAACTTTTCAAGACTACACCCAAGACTCAAACGTTAAAGCATATCATGCCTGATAGCCAAGTGCCTGTAATATCTTTCAGTGCAATCCACTGATAGTCACAAGAAGGAAGCTGCTGTATTATTTCCTTTGTTCTGTTCCTTTCTCTCAGATCCAGGTGATTAGCTTTGTGACTGAGCAGAACTGGGACTCTCTTGAGGTGTTTGATGGGGGTGACAACACTGAAACCATGCTGGGGAGCTTCTCAGGTGGGCTGTGTAATACTTCTATAACTCGGTTCACTACATAAACACGCATTGTTACAATAATCTTGCTGCTGTTGCTTTGAATGCTTGGATGTTTCCTCTGTGGATGTCTGAGAGAAATGCAGTTTGTCTTGCACAGAAATTTAGTTTTACATCAATGTTTATACCACAATATGATGTATAGAAGAGTTACTGCATTTTTGGAACAGTTTATAGATCATAAGAACGATTCTTTATGTTGCATTATGGGAAACAGAAGATACTTACGCAGTAGGGAAGACTGAAGTTTCACGTTTATTGGCACAAAGAGCAGGCACAAATGTTACAAGTGCCCTAGAGAGAGATAAAT